CGAAGTTGCGGTAGAGATGCTTGATCTCGCCCTCGCGGCCGGCGTGCGGTCCGTCTATCACCTTCACGATGTCCTTTTTCTGTATGGAGTTGTGTTCGGAATCGAGCGCGGTCGTGAACCTGTTCTCGCGACGTTTCTGTAAAGCCTGAGGCTTACACTCGATGACTTTCCCCTGCATACCTAAAACGTGGAAATTTTCTTTCTCCAGTCTGACGATGACGCCTACGGTCTGCGGGTCCAGTTGGACCATGTCGCCCCACTGGAACTGTCCCAAGGAATCCACGCCTGTGGCCATGTCCGAGCACAACTGGAGGTCTCTGGGCAGCACTTCCAGCTCGTGCATGGTCAGGTCGGACACCAGCACGACGCGGTGCGGCTCCACCCTGACGATGAGTCCCGTGTCCCCCTCGTACCGGCCCGCCAACACCTTCACGTGGTCACCCTGCTTAAAATATTTCCTAAGCTCGTTGGGCTTGAAAACGAGAGGATCTTTCAGGGCGTCGTGTTTGGGCATCACGGTGATCATGGAGCCGTCTATAGCGATAATCTTCGCCTGTAGGTTTGCGAGGTCCCCGGAGCACACCTCGACGTTATCGCCCATGGAGAATGAATGCAAGCTCGTCGGATCGTCTTTGGCCGGCGCAGCTAGTTCTATGTCGATACCCTCCGGTTGTTCCTCGAATCTCTCCAACTCGGTCAGAGACGGCTTCACTCCCTCCGCCAAAATTGCCGACATAGTAAAATTCTTGTACAAAAACCCTTTTCTTGAGTATCTATTACCCTCAAAAATAAGGAAGTCACCGTCGGAGGTAACCTCGCCGCCGATGGCGCGGATCGCCTCGGGGTCGAATGGTTTGGCGGCCGGACGACGCTTTTTTTTTCGTTTGGCCGCTTCGCTTTCACTCTGCACCGTTCTCAGAGCACCTCTAAGTCGCGTGTAATCAATTCTAGGTAGTAACTTCAAATGTACTTGATTTTGAGCTAGGTCAACATAATCTACTTGCGCTATGTCGTCTTTGTATAATCCTCTCTTTAACCTGACCCATTGCTTTGGTTTTAAACCAGACTGTTCTTTGACCACTCTCAGAACATCTGTCATTTCTTTAATTGGTACCATGTCTTGTTTCCAAGTGCCGATTTTTAAGGCGCTTACATTATTTATAATGGCCTTAACGTGCGTTTGCTTGTAAGCTTCTATGTACACATACCCTTTGACACCTTCCGGAGCAACAACTGATTTAATCTGAAATGGCTCTTCAGAATTTTTGTATGCAATAAACTTTCTCATGAGCAGTAAAACTGTTGCCTTCTCTTCACCAATATGGCATTTCACCATCCACAGGTTGGGATCTTTGATTCCTGGCAGGAGAGTCTGCTGAGTGATTTCATCCGACATCTCCTCACCACCTTCACCAAAGTGTCGCAATGCTGCGGATTCGTCAGCATACTTGTTCCTTAAATATTCTTCAATTTCCTCTTCTTTTTGCGAGTCCCACAGGTTGGTTCCACGGCGACGACCTTCAATCTCTCGAGCTGTGGGACCAATTTCATCCACTTCATTGCCCACAATGCCCATCTCCTGGGCACCCTCTTCCCATTCATCATCTTCGTCGACTTCATCATCCACCTGTCACAAACATGTTATATATTAACATATTTTTTGTTTTATAAATAACAGTTGCCAATAGTTAAACATACCTCAGCCTCATCAATGATAAACCCGCCATAGCGACTGTCTTTCTTACGCTTCTTTCTTCTTCTTTCTTCTTCCTCATCTTCATCATATTCTTCAGAGTCTACCAGATCCTCACCTTCAGGTTCCTGTTCATCCTAAATTATAAAAAAAATATTGTATTTTTACAAGAGTATGATTTTATAAATTTTAGCCTCTATTTTCTATATGACTTAAGTAATATAAACATTTGACCATCAGTACTTTCACTTATTCACAAAAGGGATAAAAAGAACAGATTTACAAAAATAATATCATTACATCATACCCATAGAGGCGATTGCTGGCATTAATCAATTAGGTACATATTATAACAAATGAATAAATGGGACTTATTAGAAACCATACCATATTACAACATACTAATTTAATTTATTACCTCTACATCTTCATCGCCTGAGGCTTCCTTGGCTTCGTCGTCTCTGTTGCGACTGCCATCGGATGCAGCGGAGCGGCTCCTGGTAAATATTAAGCATCATGAGGTCACTGCATTAGTGCTCTGACAATACGAGTTGGCATTTTGACAATTCACAAAGTAAACCCGTAGGTTTATACCTAGATCGAGAACGGGAGCGCGACCTCGAGCGTGATCTTGAGGGACTCCGGGAGGGACTCCGACTCCCAGAACGTGACCGCGAGCGCGACCGAGATATAGACCGATTTGATGCAGCACTCCTTCTAGATCTATTAGAGACCACACTCGCCGCGTCAGACCCGCTGCCTGAAAAATTACTCCCTTCCGAGTCAGACATGTTTTCTTCTTATTGCTTTTATGAAACCATTGAGAATTTCAAAATGAAAAATTCAGCGAAATCCTAACAAAATGTCGAAGAAAACGTAACCAGTAGACGTGACAAGTACAGAATACAGAATACAGATTAAAATTAGGAATCATTCAAAGAGTATTATAACATGTCTTTGGTGTTCCGATAATCGAAAACAAAATTGTCTACAGCTTCAAAATCGAAACTCGACTGAAATCTTCGTTGTAGTGGATTTTATCTCAATGATTTGTACAGAAACTTATCTCAATTGTAGAAATTATACAATTCTACAAGAAACATACTGAAAATAACAAGCAAAAAATACAAAACTTACTTTTTTAGACCGGTTCGGAATATTGTCCATGGTTCGAGTACTAATAAAAATAAATCCTTTCTTTTGTCTATTGATTCGTCGCGGCCCCACCGAGTAATGTGAATTTCTTGTATTATTTCACAAATGTAGCGTTATTCTGAAAGAATTGGACTATTATTATATAATACTCTGTAAATAAATCAACTTCAGTCATAATTAAGTGATGAATAGTTAATTGCAAGTGTCGAAGTGATCAATCCCCATGCACATCTATCCGCTGCTCGCTAAATAGTAGCTTTCGATCGGATTTTCGCACGTTTGACAATAAGTGTTGTGAGTTTCTGTAAGGTTCTCGTGCCGGTGGTTCATATTTGAGTGCAAAACGACGAGAATCAGTGTTGTGGTGCATTGCGGTGCAGTGCAGTGCAGGTTCGCAATGGAACAGTGAACCAGCGGTCGGGGTGCGGCGCCAGGGGTCCCAGGGGGGGCCATGCTGGAGACGCGGTCGGTGCGCGCCGCTGACTCGGTGTGGGCGAACAAGCCGCTGCCGGCGCCGCACGCCATGGCTAATGCTAGGCACGGGAAGAATGCTCAGGTAACACCTTCAAACCTGCACTAAAAATAATTCTAGATGATTCAATGGTTAAAAAGGTTCAGACAGTATGGTTAACCTTTAAATATACTAAAAGAATTTATATATCATAACTCTCTGCAAGTAGTGTCCAAAATTTATTAAATTTACATATTTACTTGCCATCATTGTTGTTGTGAGTCATGAGCTGTACTGTGTTATTGTAAAATCTCAAAAGGACATACTCATACAACGCTTCTCTTAAATTTAGTTCAATTGCTGACTGTGTGTCAACAAAATATATTTCCCCTAATGGTTTGTACTCCTATTGGACTATGTAGAAGTTACAATTTGAACTAAGCAAATATGTTACACTTGTAGTTAGTTAAGTACAATGAAAAACTACCTATCTTTAAAATGTATAATGTGTAAATGTATTCGAAACAATGAGATCATCTAAAAGAGATGTCTGTTATGTTCTAAAATACTTAACATAATACCTTAATTTTATTATGTATGTAACTATCATATCATATATTAATCAATCTCATATGTCCTCACCGAGGGGCTCAGAGGCTACCCCAAAATACAAGTGGCTAGGCCATACTTAACCATGCTGACGCACCGCGGGTTGACTTCACAGATATCTTTGAATTTGTTTTCAAATATATGATGGTTACATTGTCATGTTTCCATACTATAAGAACCAAAAGAAGATATATTATTGCAATGTCAGTAAATTTTTTCAATATTTAATTTAGTTGTATGTAATTCACAAATCTAAAAAGAGTTTATTTTGTGGAAATAAAACAGGAAACAAATGCATCGAGGCATTAAGGAACTTGTATAATCTTTGCACAGATCTAGTTGTGAAAATGAACCTTGGACTTGTTATCCATTACCATGAATCTTGAGCCAGAAGTGTTTTGTTTATGTAAATTTAATTTTTAATTCAAAGTCTCATATTTAAATGTAATCATCCAAACCAACAATTCTTTTAATTTTTTCAATAAGACTAATTAAATTTGTTAGCTCTACATATCAGATTTCATTTAAAATTATATCCTTTTGGTAATACTATCATCATCATCATCATCTCCTTATCCAACTCCCGTAGTGTCGGCGCAGGTTTTTGTCTTCCACATAACTCTGTCATACGTCATCTCAGTCATCACTCCCTTTTTGATCATGTCACCTTTTACACAATCCATCCATCTCTTTCTAGGTATACCTCTACCTATGTACCCTTCCATGCTCATAACAAAGTTCTCTTTGTAACATGCGATTCATCCCTCCTCATAACATGCCCATACCATGCTAACCTTTTACTCCTTACCTTCTCTACTACGGGGGCTACTCTCAAACTTCCTCTAGTATACTCATTTCGTATCTTATCCGTTCGTGTTCTTTCGGTAATTCTATTTATTCGGTAAAATGTATTTAAAGATTAAAACATGTATAAAGATTTAATTTTATTCTACTTATGCTAAAGTTGAAAAATTCCATGTGGTCAATTTGTTATCAGTGGTAAAAGTGTGAGGCAAAGAAAAGAGAGAAATTACATCTTTATAAAGATCACAACATTATGAGAACAAAACCCTATATCCAATTCAAGACTTGATTGTACATGTTTTGTCATACCACATGCCATGAGAAAATTACATAAGAGTATAAAACAAGATATAATGCTTTTACCATTGCAAAACTAGAATTTACTACAAAAACACCATATGGTATATAAGAATGATTACAGAACAGAAAGCAATAAGGATTCAACACTACTGACAGAAATGAACATGCATAATCGGCATTGCATTAAATTCCCAGAGGTGTTGGTCAAATTTAGTTATTAAAGATTTATTATTATCAATCTTTCTCCTACGCAAGATTTTTTTCTAAGCATACTTAATCATTATCCACGTAGGCGTGACACGGCGCACTAAGTCGCGATTGTTTTGCTTCTACGCAAGGATATGCGGTCAGTTAATTGCAAACACTTACGTCATTAACATAACGCAGTCATAGGCTTACGAATTTATACCAGAAGACATTGACTGCGTTACGAATTATAGTTTTCGCTTCTAAATCCGACGCATAAATAACACATTTGTGCGTAGGTTTCTCAGTTATATGTAATCTCGATTTAGTTCATCTATATTGCCATATGTTTTTTATAGACGATTGAAAGCTATATTATATGAACAGAAAGAGGTTCCAATAAAGTCGCGCTCCGCTACTAGAACTAAATAATGGAGTTTCTAAGTCCAATTACGTCCCATAGTAACATGACATCTGTTTTTTGCACCGCTCTAATTAATAAAACGGGTCAATTATGTTATTTGAAAATCGTTCTAGGAGGTTCAATCTGATGAAACTCTTAATTCTTCTCTTATCTGTGATGGAAATTGGCGACAGAATGTAAATGTTTGAGATTTTAATCTTTTTGACGGGAGGATCGTAAGCGAAATATGCAGCCGTTATCGTACCTATCTTGTATTATGTTCTAGCTATACGTAATATTGTATAATCATATAATAAGGCGTTTAGTTTGTGCATATTGTAGTTACGCTCATTGGCTGCGGCCTTCGAGAGCGATTTCACTGCCCGGCCTGTCTGTAAATTAATTTTGCAAGAAAAATTATATAAGAATAACTATGCCTTAAAAGGATGATTAGATAAGGTTATAAATAGGTTTTTATTTATATTAACCTGACTAATCTCATTCCTAGCATTATTCTGACCAAGAATTGACGATTGTCTTTGGGTCCTTAATTTTTGACCGACTTCCCAAAAGAAGGAGGTATTCAATTCGTCGGTATATTTTTTTTTTTTTTTTTTTTTTTTTTTT